GGTGATCAGTGAAGGCCTCGCAGAAGAAAAAGGGATACGAGAGCTAAGCCTGGAAGGCAATATGTTAGGGAGTTAGTTACACAGAAATCTAGGGAAAAAACATTTTAAGCAGGAGGAATACTGAGAGTATGAATCCTGCAGCAGGACATTTTGAGCCTGTTCAAGACCAGTAAGGCTGAGGGTAAGAAGGAATGAGGATGAGGGATGGCTGTAGATCACAAGAAGCTTTAAGTAGACAATTGTACAGACTCTAGATTTTACTCTTCCGAGGAGGAAGACAATGGAGGGCATTGGAGAGACATGATTATATTTTAAACTCACTTGGTCACTGTTTGACCATAAATTGTCTCCCTGCTGCCAATTGGATCCTTTTACAGTACACTGTCCACAAAGCAGCATGACTCTCTTAAAACACTGTAGAATGACTCAGCAATACACTCCTGGGTATTTACCCCCAGAAAAACAAAACTTACATCCACAGAAAACCTGTACATGACTGTTCACAGCAGCTTTATTTGTATTAGCCCCAAACAGAAAATCAAAATGTCCCATGGTAGTTGAATATTTAAACAAACTGGACATCCATACCATGGAATACTACTCAGCAATGAAAGGAACAAACTATTGGTACACAGAACAACACAGATCTGAAGGGCATGGAACTGAGTGGAAAATCTCAAACAATCATATGGCATGATTCCATTTACATAACTGGAATTAAATGAAACACACCCATTGGAGGGAAAGGATGAAGGATGCCCAGGACCTGTCTGTATTATTTTTGCAACTTCTTGTGAATCTGTAATTATTTCAAAAAAGAAAGTTTCTTTAAAAAAGCACTGTAGAAAAGAAATTGTGTTTCAGTGGAAAAGCATGCATTGTACATACAGCAAACCATGTTCCCAGTTATTTAGCTCTATTCTTTCATTGTCTTTGAACTCATTTTATATCTTTGAAAATTCAGATAACTGATAGACACTCAAACCATCCTGTCTGATAAAGGTTCCCTTCCTCACCCCCTGGAAAAACCATTTACATATTCAACTTGCCTTTATTCCATATCAATTTGTGCTTTTTTTCTTTTGAATACTATGAGGGCACTGAGCAAGTTAAATAAAATTTTTAACATGTGTTCAATTTTATGTCTGTATGAGAGTCATGATTTTACCTTTTCTGAAATTTATCTTTTAAGAACATTAATCCCATCATGTCCCTGGCTTAACCACCTTCAAGCTCCCCCTGGCACTTAAAATAGATCCCAAATATGCCTCCAGGTATCCAAGGCCCCAGAGCCAGGGCCCCGCCTGCCTCTTTAGCCTCACCTCTTCACTCTGCCCACTGCCAGGATTCTTCTACCACTTGCCCTTCTTTCAGCTCCTAAGAAAATCACATTTGTTCTCGCCTTATTGCTCTTGCACCTGTTGTCACTCAGTCTGGACTGCTCTTCTTATGGATAGTTCTTTTTCATGAGTAAACAAACTCTCAGCTCAATTGCTACACCCATAGAGGTCTTCTGAAACCATTCAATCAAAGGTAATAACATCTCTATCCTGTTTTTTTCATCAGAGTTACAACTATCTGAATAATAGTTTACTATATGATATGAACCTAATGTCATTATATTTGTTGTATTATATACTTATATATTACATAAGTACTTACTTAGATATTATACAAATATAGTATATTATTATTGTTTGGTTATTTACTAGTTTATTATCTGTTCAACCCAATTCCATAATAGTAGATAATAAAGTTTTGTTTCCATTATGTCTCTCAGTGCTTAGAAAGTTAGCTAGCATATAGTAGGTACTCAATAAATATTTGTTGAATAAATCCCTGAATGATGCTTTTGGAAGTAGCAAGGTCCCATCACTGGAGGTCTTTAAGCATGGTTCCTACAACCACTTGACAGGGTCTAGAAAAGCTATAAGCATAGGCTTAGTCCCAGGAATTTAAGACCATTAAGGTCCCTTCTAGTATTGAGTATATGATTGTATGGCCACCACGCCCACCCTTTCTCCTATGCAATGGGAAAAGCAAAGGAGAATTCCTCAGTTATTTCCCACCAAATGATACTCCTGTTCCTGCTGCAATATCATCTCAGCATTAAAATGTTGAAGCTAATCAGACATTTAATTTCAAAGTGGAAGGTCATTATCTTGTCACAAAATTTTATTCCAATTACTTTTTTTTCTATTATACGAAATGAATTAAAAGTAGCACAAAACATTGGGAGATCAAACAGTCAATCAGAAGCTCATTAAATATCACTGAAATTGGTGCAATAAAAAGCATTTCCCATGGCTGACTTATTATTTAAAAGCCATATTCTGGATGGCTCAAGGAACTGACATGCTTCCAGTCAAAAAATCACCCTGTCCATAAATAGCCACTTGTCTTTTAAAAGTTCACTGTTTTTTGAGATAAGAGTAAATATCTAAAAAGATTTAAAGCAGAATTTAAATTACCATCCTATTATCCCCTATGAGATCCTAAAGAGAAGATAACAGCCAAGTCACCATCTGATAATTCAGACTATTATTTACAGAAAGATGCTTACAAAGTGCTATCAGTGGTTTTATGAACACTTCAATACATTACATTTAGGTACAATACACAGCTAAATACAATCCCAGGAAGGATTACTGGCCAGTTACAATTTTAAAATTCAGTTCAACTCCATATTTAGAAGAAATGCCCATTTTATTTTCTAAAGAGTGACTATTAAACACTTCATTTTTCTATAGGTGACTGCTGGCATGAGGATTTGAAAGCTAATCATTTTTAAAGTTCTAGTATTTTTCCACTACAAGCCCTTTTATCCCCACCCTAGCTCCCCATTTTAAAGCTAAATACCACTAATTTTAGCATTTCAATTTGTATAAATGACCGCTTTTTGACATCAAGATGGCAGGTCCTTTTGATATAATACAACATAAGTATTGTTCCCAATCTCTTAAAGTGTTTAAAAGGTGTGGATGATACAAATTAAAAATACATAGGCAAGAGAAAGTTCCGAGGTATGGGAAATTGCTTCTTCAGTACAAGGACTCAAGAATTTCACCCCTTTAAAACTCCTTACACACCCTACTAACATCCCAATTTCTTTTCAAAAGCCAGGGCTTATTGGCAAATTATCTGTGAGTAAAGTGGGAGGGAAATATTTCAATGCCAAATTGAGAACTGCTATAGAAAGAAAAGTGTGGGGAGATTTGTTATTTATTTCCTCCAGTATATCATTCAATTTCAGCTGTCTCACATCTCAGAGGAAGCTCCCCCATTTCTCACTTACGTGCCTAAGAAACATCTTCCTGGCATCTCATTCTCTCTGTCTTTTGCCAGCATTTCATTATTTCTTAACTGCCCCTCTCATGCTTGTCTCCCTTTTTCCTAGTCATCCACGTGTCCTCATTTAGCAGTTTTCAGAAGCCAGGGAGAAACGTTGGAAATAATGTTAAATATGATTAATATCTTGAATTCCTTGAAATATGACATGCATGAGTTACAATGAAACCTCTTTTATTTCCCCATGAAATGCTTTTGCATAATGAGAAAGAAAATGTCCTCTATGCCCTAATCAGCCCTGACAGTTCCTGGACTCCCAAATACTTTTATTTATGGCATTATTTATTTCATCTCTAATAAAATGGAGGGGGGTAACCACAGCACGATCTGAGGCTGCAGGAGAGGGAGACTATCTATGGTGGAGGAACACAGAAGCTGAACCAGCAAAGAGAGAGAAGACTTCCAAAGGAAGGAGGAAGGGATATCTGGGAAATGAGAGGCCAAGGACCTGAAAACCCATAATAAGAAAATGGGTCTCTTTCCCAAGACTAAAAGTTCTGATAAGAAATGTCACTTCAGAGTGGAAAGATGAGAGTCATACATCAAGGAGATTCTATTCTAAACTGGAGAATGAAGAATGAAGGCTGGAAATCAAACCTGGGATTGGAATTGGCTAAGGGGAAGGGAGATGTGCCCCAAAAAGGGGCTGGAGAGGCCAGGACACTCCTCGAGATAGAAGGCCTCTCTACCCCATGGGGATCCTCCTCCAAACCACAGAGGCTCCTCTTGCATTTAAATTACTGAAATAATTCACACTACAGTCAAACCTCTAGAAATTCTGGCCTGATGGCCCCAGCTGCAGCGAGGAACTGGCTGGGCACCGCATGGAGGGTGAGCTGTCAGGCCACCTTAGTCCTACAAGTTCATATAGGTACACATCAAATGACATTGTTGAAAGAAGCTAATCACCATCCCAAAGGGAGGTATCAGGTCATATTTTTCCCTCGAAGGCACAGAGAGTCTACCTATGAGAAGTGAAGATTTGAAATCAAATGACCTTAATGCTTCTGTGCAACTCGGTCATACACTCCTCAGTGTCTGACTTTAGGCAATATCCTCACGCAGCCTCGGTTTGCTCGTCTGTAGAATGGGGGAACTAATTCTGTTACGCATTCTCAGGGCCCCGATGGGGAATTAATGAAATAATGCTTAAGTCTGATGCCCTGCACGCTCTTATGGGCAGCATGAACTCGAAGGCCAGATGCTGGGTGTTCGCACAGCGACCTGGGTCAAAACCTTCAAGACGTTTTTTTCGCAGGTTGGAGGCGCAATTCCGAATCCGCGGAAGAACCACTGTAACACTTTTCCTAGGCACACGCACACTCTAGCTACTCGCCCCGCCCTCAACGATACCAGCCGCCCTGTGCAACCCCGAGTCGGGATCAGGCAGGGGGCGCCAGGAACTCGTTTCCGTTGTCGACCCCGCCCGCAGCAGATGCCTCACGTCGACGTCCGGGGCTCCGAAGTCTCGAGCCGGCCGGAACCTCGCTGGGGTAGCAAGGTGCGCTTCGCGCTCCCGGCTCTGCCTTTCCCTCCCCCCGTCGGAGGCGCACGCTTGGCGGGCCGACCCCACGGGCGGCGGTGGCGGCATCAGGCCCCACTCCCGCCCTCATTATCATTAGCAGATATTACCCTAAACCCTAGCTCTCTACCTCCTTTCTCCCTCCAGGCATTGGCGAGGCAGCCTGTCAATCAGCGCTCGGGCGGCAGCCCCCCGCGCGGGGGCTCAGCGATGCCAGCCTCAGCGACAGGAGGCAGTGGCGGCGGCGGCGACGAAGGCACAGACACACGCCCTCCCACACGCGCGCACACGGGCAGAGCCGGCGGGCAGGAGGCGGAGGCACCCTCGGAGCCCTGCTCCCGGCAGGGAAGGAGCGTGCGACCGGGCACCGGCCCCGAGGCGCAGGATGGAGGAGGAGATGCCGCCGGCGGAGGAGGGGCCCAGCGTCCCCAAAATGTACAAGCAGCGCAGCCCCTACAGCGTCCTCAAGACGTTCCCCAGCAAGAGACCGGCGCTGGCCAAGCGCTACGACAGACCCACCCTGGTGGAGCTGCCGCACGTCCGGCCGCCCCCGCCGCCCTTCCCGCCGCGCGCGGCCGTCTCCATCAGCAGCAGCGAGCCGCCGCCGCCGCAGCAGCAGCAGTTCCAGGCGCAGGGCTCCTACCCCAGCGGGCCTGGCAGGGCCGCCGCCGCCGCCGCCGCCGCCGCCGCCTCGTCGTCATCTCCGTCCTGCACGCCCGCCGCGTCCCAGGGCCACCTGCGGACCTCGGCGCCGCCGCCGGCGTCCCCCGCCGCGTCGTCGTCATCGTCCTTCGCCGCCGTCGTCAGGTACGGGCCGACCCCGGCGAGCAGCGCGGGCAGCGACGGCGCCAACCTGGAGCTCAGTGCAGGTACCAACTCTTGGGCGCAACTTTCCTAACCGCCTCGTGCTGGGGGAGGGGTGGGATCCCGGGCACGAGAGGCTGGGGGCCGCGGACGCCCTCCCGCGCGTCGGGCCCGGCCAGAGGGGCGGGGAGGGCGCGCACACCCCGCCGGAAGAAAGTCTGGGCGTCCAAGCGCACGCGGAAGCCTCCGCGCGCGGGCTGCAACTTCTAGAGGATTCCCCGGCACCGCTGCCGCGTCCGGAGCTTCCGACGGCGCGCGTGGGTCCTAACAGGTGGCGCCGCCGCTCGGCTGCGCCCCTGCGCCCGAAAGCGCGGCGGTGGCGACCGGCGGCCGGGGTCGCTCGGGTGGGGGGCGCAGGAGGCAGCCCCTGCTCCGAGGCCATGCGCCGGCACTGGGGGCTGGACTCCTTAGGGTGTGAGCGGCGTCCGCTCCCGGAGAAGCTGGAGCTGCTTTGGCGGCTCTCGGGGACGCCCTCCATTTACCCTCTGCCGTTTCACTTTTTCCCTTCCACTTCTTGCTTTACTTGCATCTCCCCTCCGTTTGTTTTCCTCTCTCCCTCCTTCCTGTCCTCTGCCTTCTTTCCTCCGCCTCTCTGAGGCACCGTCACCCTGTCGAGAGTGGGCTCCCGTCCACTCGTCTGGCTCTTTGGGCTCGCGCTTTTCTCTTTTTGTGCGCTTGTATTTCTCTCGCGCGCGCTGTCTCGGCTCCCCCGGCCCTCTCCCCCCCCCGCACCCCGCCCACCCCCGGAGTTCCAGCCGGCGGGTGTTAAGACGCCGGACTCCTGTGCACCGTCCGCGCGGGGAGCACTGGCCCTCGCCCCTGCGGCCGACTTCGGCGGAGGCATCCGCCCCTCCCCCAGCCGCGAGAGCCCTGGGCGCACCTGTCCCCTCCGGGTGGGACGCTGTGTGCACGGCGCCTCGCGAGCGCGTGGTCAGGTGGTTTGGGCCCTGCAGAAAATGCGAGGGGAGCCCCCATCCCAGGGCTCGAGACTCCTCTCCGTTGCCAGGAGTGTGCAGGAAGCCCCCTGGGAAAAGCCAGCCCTCCTGCCCTGCGGCAGGGAGAGAGGTGGACTGGTGGAAAGGCCGCAGCCTGGGGCCTGCGCCTCAGGGCGCTCGCAGTTCCCGGAGGGCGCACGTCCTCGTTTTCCCGGCTCATCCGACCTAAAAGTTGGTGCTCAAGCCTTTTATGGCACTTTGGAGCCCCAAAATTCTTCATATCAGGGAATCTAAGATTTTTTTTCCCTAATGAAAACATGAGTATGGTCTTTACATGAGTTACAGATGCTGACGCTAATGTCCTGTTTGTCAATATTTTGACAAAGGATTGGTTTTGAGGAGGGAAATCCAGTGACAGGTTATAGTGAAGACTTTTGTCACATCTTTCACTGATTTGAAGATGTTTGGTGGCTTTGAGTGTGGGTCTTAAATGGATGTCCTCATTGTTAGTGGGCTGTGGTTTTTGTCCAGTTGAATTTGGCCCAGTATTGTATTGTGTTTTTATATTCATTGTTAGGCTATTCATCCTCTTGTATTTTCTCCCTTAGTTTTCTTCTGTGTCCTCCCTGTCTCAGTGAGGTCTGTGTTCTTTCTTTCTGGGTTTGGGGGTCCTGTTTTTTTCTGAACTATTGGTTTATGCTCTTGTTTATTCCCCAGCTCTGCTCTTTTTCTTTATAATCATCTTTTATTGTTTTTCAGAAGTTTGAGTCCTTTACCCATTCTCTCTCTGTCGCTTACTCCTTTCATAACCTCAGCTCCACCCTGTTCATTGGGGTATCACCCTCTTTGTCTGCCCAGTTCAGTCTTTAAGCTCATCTTGCTTTCTCCTTTCAGTCTTTGCTGACTTCCAGTCTTTTACTTTCTTTTATACACTGTAAATCTGCCCCTTCTCATTTCCATTTTCACTCATAGTTTTAACTTTGCTTTTTCCTGCTATTTTTCTGATACCATTAGCTTTCTGCACCAGCCACTTTGTATCTTTCTATGGTCCCTCCTGCTCTGGCAGTGACCTTCCTGTCTTTCATACCTAAGAAGTTGTGGGTTTTTCCCATTCTCTCCTTGTTCTAAATGTTCTCTTTCAGTTTTTCCTCTAATGTCCTGTTTAATTTTGTTTCTGTCCCCAAGTGGTAATTATATCATTTAATCGAAAGGAGTGAAAAGGGGCTTTGTTGATTGATGCCCCTCAGCCCTGTATTTCTTATTTCCTTTTTATCTCAAGGCTTCTTTTCTTTTTTTTTTTTTAAGAGGGGTCACAGAGAGGTAAGCACCAAGGGCATGATGCCATGTGCTCGTTGGAAAGATGGGAATTGGATAGGAGGTGTCTTCCATGCAGTGAGGAAAATGAAGGTATGGGGGCAAAAAAAGAAAGGCATAGTACTAGACATCATGAATTGTAGTCACATATTAATCATTGATGGACAAAGCCACCTCTTAACGGGCACAAGGATGTGAGTGGCCATCAGAGGGACAGCCACCTGAAATGCTGATTGGCTCTTGGAGGAACTAGTAGTTCCACTTTGAACCAATAAGCATGTATACACAGACAGCCGGCTATTCAAGCACACCGGTTGGGGGTGAGGGTGGGGATTTGCTTGTTGCGCTCTTACCAAGGTGTGATTGCTAGCGCAACCTCTGAGGCCACCTAGTAAATGAAAATAATCAAATCATCAGTGTGATGAAATGAGTCCAGGACAGAAGAAAAGAGAGATCTGAGTGTCCAGAGTAAATGCCTTGAAAAGACGAAAGGGCTGAAGTGAATCTTATTCGCCCCTAAAGGCCATAAACTCTTGAGAGGAGAAATACGTGATTAAAAATAGATTTTTCAGCATTCTTATAAAATCTCGTGAAGAGTATAATTTTCCTTAAAAGGGGTAATATACCATGATTTTAGAAGCCTATTTTTTTTTTCCTCTGTGGGAGGCTTAAGAGTTAAAACCCATGTAGATCTTGATATGCAGCCTAAATTTGGCATCAGGAAATGGGAAATTGCATCTTTAAGCAGAGTACAATCAAAAATGAATTACAATAAATCCTATATAATTGCATAGGTCATTCTCTTTAATGAGATTTTATTAACCTGACTGTCAAGCTTTTGAGTCAGGCAGATATTTTATCTTCTTCAACTGATAAAAGTGTCAGCTATAAACCACCACATAAATATTCATAAATCTACACATCTGTGGCGGCCTATCAGCATCATTCTTCTGGACATTAAAAGCATTCTAATTACTTTCTGTCTAGCAGAGCTGCAGTGCTGCCTGTTATAGTATGTGCTTGGCAGGCATGATTGCTTTTGTTTGCCATCACAAATAGCAGCATCCTATTTTATATACCGATGGTCCAGAAAATACTCCGGGATTGACTGAGCAGGATGACTATTAGGAAGCACCATCTGGTTTTGATAGCACCAAGTATATTAACTCATCTGTTAATTTTTGACACATCATTGATTTATTTATTTAGAAAAATTGCATCCTGTTGTGCTGTGTTGATGTTTGCCATGATGGAGGAAAAAAAAAACTGGATGGCATTTTTTTTAAAAGACATAGTTCATTGATTTAAGACAAGGGTGATGCTTCCAAAGACGCTTTCATTTTTTAACTTGTATTTTTTATGCTGTGAAGTCCTCCCCTAAAAATAAGTTATATTAGGTGTTTAAAGGAAATCATCTATTTTGAACTAGCTGACAGTCCTTTCAGTAGATGTAATATATGGATGATAGTAGGTCACAAAAATTTTTTCTGCTTCTGCATTTTAATATTAATATATTTCACCCTTCACTGGGCTAAAATCAAAAGGTTACCACTAATCTCAACTACTGCGATCTCCTTCATAGAAACAGAATACATTTGGGGATATGCTGTGATGGGCAAATTCCATTCAAGGCTTTACTTACAAAGAAGGACGTTAAAGTAAGGAGCCTGTTGTTTGATTGCAGAGTTCCTACCCTCTTCTTACTCACTTATCTGATTTAGGATGGATTAAGCCACTTAAAATTCAGGAGCATTTCTAGAAATGAATTTTTTTAGTTAAAAATTATGGGTTCAGACCTTGCAATCAAACAAGGTACAATTTGCCACATGATCTTATCCCTCAACAGATAGCACAAAAAAACAAAGTAAATTAGAAGTGGTCATTTTAAAGTGGCTTGTGATTGTGATTTATTAACGTTTCATGGTGTTTAATTTTGGAGAAGTGAGAGATAAAGTAGATAGTTTGAAAGCCCCTTTGTAAACTGTTGGCTTTGTACTTCTCTGCTATCACTTGTATGGAGCATTCTGTGACTAGGGGAAAAGAAAAACAGTTTAAAAAAATTCAGAATACATGTTCACACTTTGCTCAATTAAGAATCATGGATCAGTGGCCATTCAATTGTGTTCGTGTGAAAACAGAACTTTTCTCCATTTCTTAGCGATAATGGGCATCACACAGTATTTGCATTTCTAATTATATTCTGTCTGGAAAGCTAAAGTATTGCTGGCTGCAATATGTATTAAGTGGAAAGATTTGCTGTTTTCCGTCAAGTGTAATAGTAATATTTTTCATCACACTTTTCAATGTCTTAATGTTAACAGTACTGAAAAAGAGGAGAAATTCAACTTTAAGGGTTACAATTGCTATTTTTGCATGTATCAATTCTGAGAACGTTCAGAATGAAGCATATTTTAAAACTGCAGACAGGAACTGTTTTATGATGGTAGCTGTTCTTGGATATTCTGAGTACACTTTAATACATTATCTTCATAATGTAGTGTATTACATAATGATTTTTTCTCTGTATTAAGAGTTTATCCTTCAATTAAGAAAACAAATCATGCTTGTCCCTAAGTCGGATTTTTTTCCCCTTAAAATCCATACCCTAATATGATTTATTGATATGATTAAAACTACTGAGTGTCCTTCAGGACATGGAACAAATATATTCCATCAGTTATTTCTTGGCAATTCTATTTTAGCCTTTCCTTTGATATTTTCTTCCTTTTACCAAGGTTATGTTAAAGGTGTGTAGGTTGTAAATCAGCTGGGACTGTTCTGATTAAAATGCAAACAGTAAATACAACTTCCGGTCTAGAATGGGATTATAGGATTAAATTAAATGAAAACTGCTGGTGTGCTAGAATTGAAAATTCCCAATCAATGTCATCCTTTGATTTTACTAATAAAAGAGCACAAACCCGGAAGTAAAGAAATGAGGATGCTGCATCTTAAAATGCCCCACTAGCATGGTTCTGGTTCAACTTTATACTTTCTTGTTTTTTGTGGTGGGGGGGGGTGAGGGGTTGTTTGTTTTGGTCATTGTGAAGAAATAACACCCAAATGTTTGAAGTCTTTCCCCATTAAGTTTTGGGGTATTTCATGAGCTCAGTTCTTCCCTTCCAGCTAGCAGGGGGCAGAAGCATCATCAATTCCAGCATTGGCTGTATAAAAGCTTACTTTACTCATTCACATCCCTGTTTCCTCAAGGTAACAAGTGGACTTTGTCTTGGCAGATTCATCAGCCAAGTTCTCAACCCATCAATCAATTTTAGCCTAAAACTATACCTGGCACCTGGTTCTTTCTTCAGCGCTCAAAATCTGTAAAAAACAGACCTGTGCCAAATATTTGTGGGATTTGGGACAAGGTACAAATGCAGGCCCACGTACCATATATCTAAATAATAAGCTGTTCAGTAAAATATGTTCTAGCCATCTTCCCTGACAACTACACCCTCATAATAACTGAGTCTGACTTCAGAGTTTTCAGCCAGTGCATGGCTTTCTCTTCCCACCCCAGCTTCATCTTCCATTAGGAGGAACCTCATATACACACGTATGGATGCCCCAGCCCCAGTTTCCAAGCTCTGGCACCATGGTCTTGCTTTGGGAGGATGTCTCAGGGAAGAAACCAGCCCAGGCCCGCGAAGCAGTTTGAGTAAGGAATTCCTGGATCTGGGGACCTCGCCATGGGAAGGGCGGGCTGGAGGAGGATGGGCAAGGCAGGGGCCCTCCTGCTTGTGTCTGAAGGTGGGACTGCTCCTAAGAGTGAGGAAGCACTGTGCCAAGAAGAATAGTCCTGTGGCTGCTCAGCCCACCTCGTGGTCTTGCCACCCCCATCCCAGTCAAGTAAATCTGAAAATGCTACAAACTAAAAGCCACTACTTATTTCTAAGAGTCCCTGTGTCTATTCAGTAACTATTTCTTGGGACACAATTCTGGCTGTCAAACCCACTGGCCTCATGGAATACAGTCTATAACCCTCTCCTGAACCGGGGAGAACTAGCCTCTGTGTTCTGCCTTGTCATTTTTTTTTTTTCCAGAAGGATTTAGGAATCGTAGCATTTTATAGATCTGAGAGACACAAGGGTACTTAAGTATGGCAGGCACTATGTAGGCTTTACATATATATATTATTATATTAAATAGTTGAAAAGCAGACTTGGATTCCCTCCCCCAATGCCTTAGTGATTTCAGGAAAGACTAGTGAAAGAAAAGAATGAAATGTTTCAGAAGTGTGGTTTTGTTGGTCATTGTCCTGGATTTTCTGGAGAAATTGATTTCTTACTGCAACTATTCTGGTTTGTCATCCCCATAGAGGCCCTTAAGCATATCACTATTTTTCATTAAAAAAATTTTTTTTCCAGAAAAAAATATAGTAGTCAACATTTCCAGAGATAGCAAGTAACTACTTAACATTTCTATCATAAACAATAGTTACCAGCATCTAAAATCTAAAATTTTTTTTGTTGCCAATATTCTGGGTGGGGAGGAGGAAAAATGAGAGGCTTTCTCATACCTCCAGCTAAGCCCTAAAAGGTACTTCTCTCTGTATTCATAAATAGCCCGTTCGGGGTGGCAGTCAGGAAAGAAGAGAATACACCCTGTGACATTTACCTTTAGGGTGACTTTTCAAGACACTTAGACTGATGACATTAAATCACCTTTTACAATTTATGGAGATTTTTTTGTTGTTTTGGTTTTGGTTTTGCAGCAAATGATAGCTTTGCATTTGCTTTGTGCTTTTCACTGACTGACAGTATGCTTGAGAATACATTTGTGTGAACTAACTGGCGCTCTCGGCACATGCCATTTTAAGAGGTTTGGCAATGTAATGGATGAGGCTCTGAGAAGAGGCACTCCTGCTTTTCAAAATACACCGATACAGATCAGCCTGAACATTAGCCTTGACAAGAAATCCAAGTTAGCAGATAAATTAAAAGACAGAATAGTGAACACAGATGCTGGATGACACATCCAGTTCTGCTTTGGGCTCCTCCTCATTTGCCTTATAGGCTCACCCTTTGTTTTACCTTAGATGTCTAGTAGGCTCTTCAGAAAGACTTTATCTTTTTTCTCCAGTTTGCATCTGGGAGCAATGTACTCGGCAGGGATTGTATCAGCTGATTAATAGCAAGGGCATGAGGGCACTCCAGAAATAGAAGTAATGATTGCTGTAAGCCTTCCTATCAATGAGGAATTGAGTCTGTAGTGGCTGGCTCGATTCATTAGAGTAAGGCTATTAATGAAGCCAGAGGTGTAGGTTCAGACTTGGGCAAGCCAGTAATGCCCCAGACAGGGAGATCTCTGTATGTGCCCAAAGTCACAGTCCAGCCATTTCCCAGAGTGAGGGGCTGGGGGTCACTCAGCAGGCACAGCAGGAAGCTGTGCATCCTTTTAAAAGTGCATTTACTGTGTCACTTTGGTTTGTGACAGTAGGAACATATATTTTTTACATTTTGAATAATAAACTCATAATTAAGGACTTTACTTTTTTCTTTGGCTACTGGTCTCTGATATGTCTTTTCCTGTGTTTCAGAGAGTCGTATGATCTTGGATGCCTTTGCCCAGCAATGCAGTCGAGTTCTTAGCCTCTTAAACTGTGGAGGAAAACTTCTGGACTCCAGCCATTCTCAATCCATGATTTCTTGCGTAAAGCAGGAAGGCTCAAGTTATACCGAAAGACAGGAGCAGTGTCACACTGGGAAAGGGGTCCACAGTCAGACCTCAGACAATGTAGACATAGAGATGCAATATATGCAAAGGAAACAACAAACTTCTGCCTTTCTGAGGGTTTTCACTGACTCTCTACAAAATTACCTGCTCTCGGGGAGCTTCCCAACTCCAAACACCGCATCAGTCAGTGAGTATGGCCACCTGCCCGATGTGGATCCTCTGTCAACCTCCCCTGTGCACACACTAGGTGGCTGGACCTCCCCAGCGACATCTGAATCCCATGGTCACCCATCCTCTTCTACACTGCCAGAGGAAGAAGAGGAAGAGGAAGGCTACTGTCCTAGATGCCAGGAGCTGGAGCAGGAGGTGATTTCACTGCAACAAGAAAATGAAGAGCTCAGAAGGAAAATAGAGAGCATCCCAGGTACGCTGCCATACTTGCAAGCCAGCTGCAATTCATTGCTTTATGTTGTCTCACCTGTATAGATGTGTGCATGCATATGTGTATGTTTGTCTGGCCAGCAGTGTTGGAAAAACTGGTGTGTACAGGCTGCCTGTAGCCTGCTGGTGCCGAACAGAAATTTCAGGATAAGCCACTAGCCTTGTCCTGTCTGTGTGTAAGCTACAGTTTTCTTGGGTTTAAGCTCAGAGACCATACTTTTATTAATAGATGTCTCTATCTATAGAAGAGTGATTCCTAGATGTGGTACAGTGAGACTGAAATAGGCCAAGTGCAGTGAGCGTGACTTCTCTTAAAAAAATGGCTTTTGTATTTTTAAAGATTTTGATATGCATCTTTTGTGAAACAGTGATAGAAACTGAAATGAAATGAAATGGTACCTCCAGAGGCAAGACTTGCATAGTACTCAACAAATGGTCTCTTCCCTTCCATTATTTTCTCACCTTTCCTGTTAAGTTTCAACAGGCATAGTCTTTTTTAGCCTGCTGACACCCCCCTTAAAAGTAATAAGCAGCATAACAAAAACGAATAGATGAAAGACCAATAATTAAGCTGATCCCAAACTGTTTGTGCCCCTGAGTAAGCATGAGGCATTTCCTGCCTCTTAGAAACAATAATTTTGCAGAATGGTAAAGTTGTGTTTATGGCAAAATCTTCTCTGGGTTGCAAAGCCATTTTTTCACTATTTGGGGTGGTACTTATACCTTTGCTTATATCTTTGAATTCATTCCTGCATATCTATGGCTTACAAAAGATATTAAAATCATTAACTAGAACAGTTTCTTCAGACTTTTTAAATCATGTAACCCATTGAGAAAATTTTTTGAGCTTGTAATCCACCAAGGTGCACATTCATTGGTTAATTACATACATGTTCTGTAATACTAATACATTACATTTAAAATAAAGCATACATAATAAATTTAAAAATTTTAAACCTGGTGCATAAATATAAATAGAAATTAAGTTCTTTTCCTAACCCAGTGTCTTTGCACCACGCAATTTGCAGGCTGCTCTAGAAAGAAGTAAATATTGAAGAAAGTTACCAATTTGTTTATTAGTATACTATGTACAAAAACAAGTGTTAAGAATTCCCAAGTCAAGAAATTTATTTTCCTTCCATTCTTTCATTTAAAATGATTCTGCCGAATAGACCTGAGATTTGATTCAGAATATTTTTGAATTAGATTTAGTGCAGTCACTCGTGGGAGAGAAGAAAGATGAAGTAAACCCTTTCTCCCTTTTTGTGTGTGGGCCCTGGAATTGTGTGCAGAGTCTCAGCATCTTCCAAAGCCAAGGCAGGCGGTGACTACAGGCTTAGAACTCGGAAGAAGGCAGTAGAACCAGAGCTCTACTGGTTTTTCCAAGTCAGAGATATGGTTGCAGCTAGCACACTGCAGTTTTACAGTTTTCACAGTTCCAGAAATGATGGTCAATTAACCATAAGATTTACCCCCAAAAGGGTATTTTCCATCTTACTCTACACCCTCCTTTTTCATTGCAGGAGGAAATAGTGTCCTGGAGATCAAACAATTTTAGAGATTTATATCAGTAATTCAGAACTGTGGGGAAGAGTTTGGGAGAGCAAAGACAGGTGATGCAAACGTTCAGAGTAGTGTTGTCTTAATTCCTAATCCTAAATATTTGTCTAGCCATCTGACCTTGGTAAGTCCTAAGCAGATTTGGGGTGCCATACAGCTCCCATTTCCTGAATCTGTGCTAGGTGATAACAGAAACTCTGTCAGGGAAAGCTTATTGCTGGCCTACCACTCATCATTGTCTTTCACTGCTTCCCAGAAAGATGAAAATGCTGCAATTTCTTGGGCCTTCTTTATGATCAGATATTGAATGGCACTTGTTGGAATTAGGCTAATGATCACCACTATTACTGTAAACATTCCAGCCCTGTTGAACTAGAACCAATAGCCATTTCAAATGGAGAAGCATGATTGCTTTAAATAATCCATACTGAAACCCAACTATGTAGAGAAAAATCAGTTTTTGTCAGTTATGAATAGAAAAAAAAATTAGTGTGAAATCCTGTAAAGATGAGCTTATTTGTGATAACTTAACATGTACTCAATACCTAGGGACACCTTAGTCTTCAGTGTCAGGTTGAAAGTGTAACTTGAGAAAACTTGACTCAGAGGAGACATGACTGCCCTCCTGTTCTCACCTCCATCTCTGGCTGAACAAAAACCAGACCATGGTCATTACCAGAGTCTGCATCTCACTCCATTAACTGTGGATTTGGGCGGAGGGGGGATGTGTTATTTTAGACATGCATTTGAAGAAAAGCACGCAAGTAATGCTCTGGTTTTGCAGGTAACAAGTATTGTGCAAGCAGTGACTGCCCTGTAAGTTTGGGGTCAGTTTTCCCTCAGCATTGTCATCATCTTCCAATGACTCCAGTTGGCCTCTGCTGTCCTAGAGGCCAGTACATTTCCATGGGTGGACCTGGGGCTTTCCTGCACCCTTATGTTGTGGGATTGCTCTTTTTCACAGTCAAGCAGGATGCATGAGCACAAAGGAGAAAGTAGCATTCAGCTGTGAGCAGAGGAAATAAGGTTTGCAAGGTGATGGGGACACCTGCACAAGTTAGAGCCCAGGCATGCTGCAGTCACTTCTCTGCTACTCCAGAGTTGTGCTCTTGAGTAACTCTGAGATTCCTTTTTTTCCCCTGCAACAAAGCATTCATACCTGGGAGCAATTCCTGAAGTGAGAATTCAGAAGAAATGAGCCTGTTAGTCTACAGCAAAAATGATTTCATTTGGGCAGCTGTCAAAGAGGGAAAGGAAGGCGTTAGCCCTTACCAGCACGAGAGGTGGGGGGAGGTGCTCTTCCCCGCACCACCTGAGAGGGCCTGTGGGTGGTGTGCGGTTTGTGAGACACTCTGCAAATTCTTTCTAACTACATGCAAGTGACGGGCTTTTGGAAAGGTCTTTACAGAGTTCCTTGCAGATGTAGGCAATTAAATATTTTTTCACAAAGGAATGGCATTAGCACATTTGCTTTTGTATTACATTATCACACTGGAAATTACAAAGTCTGTTTAAAATTTTTAAAGAAAAGTGAAAATAGATTTAAAGAATATAGTCACAAAAAGATACTTGGATCAAGAATATGAAGAGCTGAGAGATTATTGAAGAAGTAAAATGATGGGGAAGCTTTTCAATGGAGAGGGTGTCAGGTTAGAGGAGTCACGTTTATTTAGAAAGCTTACAGTCAACACTACCTGAAGAGAACTCGAAGGTGGATATAAAATATCATATTTCATCTAACTTAAGACCCCAATGAATGTAAGACACACCAATATTTCATGTTCTGCTAAGAAAGAAAAAACACTGCAAATCATAATTGCACTTTTCAATTATTTTTTAACACTTAAGTTCAGAGATTTTAAAATATGAAAAAAATGCAGGTCTTAGAATCATAAAATATGGAACTTAAATAACTTCCAAAATAAAATAATTATGTGTAATTAAATAATCACATTAAAATACCTTGAAATTTTCTAGTGCCAAATATAGGGGAATAAATAGACTTACTGATATTATTAAAGGACTTTCTACTTTTTTAAAGTACATTTATGATTTTTCACAGTTTATCCTGATAATTCTAAACAAATAATAATATTCCCATTTACAGACAAAGAGATTGAACCTGGACATGTAAAGTCTATGGCAAACCTAAGATTATAATTCAAGTCTCCTGACTCCAGATCTAGTTTGTTACCCTCTTCTACCCTCAAAATACAGTTGATTCTCTTTATTCATTGTAATTGTGTTCTGTAAAGTCACTGTGAACACCAGATTAGCAAACACTGAAGTATTACTCATAGGAGAAATAATAGAACAAGGTTCCTGTGAGCCTCTGGTCACAGTGTTTTCATAAACTGGTCAACACATAATCTTGTTTTATGTTTGATTTTGTTTAAAGAGACCTCATTTAATATAGTTGGTCCTCAAAGGGCATGGGAATTAGGGACACTAACTCCCCACACACAACTGAAAATCTGTGTATAACTGTTGACTCTCCCAAAACTTAACTACTGAAAGCCTACTGATGACCAGAAGCCTTACCAATAACATAACAGTCAAATAATACATATTTTGCATATTATATGTATTAAATACAGTATTCTTGCACTAAAGTAATATAGCCTTTTCAAATTGTCACAATCTCCAAAAAATTTTCCAATATACTTATTTAAAAATATCTGCATGTACAGATGCACACATCACAAAAAATGTTGTTCAAGGGTCAACTGTATGTAGTGTTGGTTGACTAATGTTGAATCCACAACCAAGAGCACTATGATTCATGTCTGAATGATGCTTATGTAACACATATTTCCTCCGTAAGGCACATCACAGCCTTCTTATGCTTGGAACCCTGGATGGCACTTTGGCCTCATTTCAAATTTGAGGTCCTTTTAAAATAGTGAAATCACCAACAAAAAGCACACACACACAAAAATGTGGCACTCTATAGACCATGAAGAGAACACTTGAATAGTATGAAAGTGAAAACAAGCAGTGTGACTTTGTTCCGCAGCTGGGAAGGTGTGCATCAGGCAACTCAGGTTTTTCAGTGATCAGCAAAAGTCCACAAATGACAAGAGCACCACGAATGTTGATTTGACAAATACATTTATAAAAAAATTTTAGCAAGTAGGCAAATTTGCAAATACAGAATCTGCAAATAATGGGGATCAACTGTACTAACTCAAGAGGTTACAAACTAGAGAACTAACCTTGGGTTATATGGGTCTGATCCTATTAATCCACAGTTGTCACTTTCTAAGTAGGAAGATTATAAACAAATAAATCAATAATGTCAGTTTTTTTTCAAGAACAAAGGCCTTTAGAGTAAATGCATTGTGGGTGCCCCACTGCCCTCCAGTTCTCCAGCCACCAAACTCACAAATGCCCGAGTGAGCATGTGCGGGAAATGCTCAAGTT